ACATATATATATATATATATACACACATATATATATATATATACACATATATATATATATACACATATATATATATATACACATATACATATATGTATCTATATATATATATATCTATATATATACATATATGTATCTATATATATGTATATATATATATAGATATATATATACATATATGTATCTACATATACATATATATATATATATATATATATGAATGATTGTGTACATACTCCTCAACAATTCTTAATCATACAAGGTTTCTTGTCTTCTCTTTTTTTTTCATTTATTTATTAATTTTATAGACATAATTTAGTCTCTCACGTGGATTCTTAATTTATTTTTTTTCACATGAAAATTTGTTAAATATATTATCTTTATTTTATATTTATTTTTTAACTTTGGATAGGTTGTTATTATTTTTTATTTACATTTTGAGTTTAATTTATATTTCTATTATAAATAGAGGACTTTATGTATATTTTCAACACAAAGGAAGATTAATCTCATGTATAGTTTTCATTATATTGAACTTGGTATCAAAACAGATTGATTCCGCTCTGGTTTCTATCTCGTTGGTACTGCTGTCTGCCACCACCTGTTGTTACCGTTCAATGCCGTCCACCACCGTCGTTGTCACAGTTTCGTTCGTCTAAACCCTTAAGGTTTTCTTGTTCCTCGCTGGTGTGATTCGTCTTCTTCAAAGATCACGTTTGGCAATACTCTTTCCTTCTCCGAAAGTCCATCAATTACCTTCAAGAAGCTAAATGGAAAAGATTATCTATCATGCTCTGTTGCCGTTAAAATGTGGTTCCTTGACCAAGGGCATTATGACCACCTTGAGCTCATGTGCCTACTGAAAAAGCTGATCAGTGAAAACAAGCTGATTTTCAGTTGTGTGCCTTGTTATGGCAATAAATGAAACCCAAACTTCTTATATCTCTGAGGGTTTTCAAAACTTGTCACTCATTTTGGAAGAAAACTCAAAGAATTTATGCCAAAGATATTCAACGTCTTTATGACATGGTAAACAAGCTTACATCTCTTAAAATGATAGACCATTATATGGTGTTTTTCATGACTGAAACCTAATCTGCTGTCAAGGAAGTCAGGATGTTTTTGGAAGACCTATTAGAGGATATCAATAAAAAACTAGAAAAATTTTACATGATGTTAATTCTTCATGCCCTACATCTCGATTTTGATCATCTTAGAGATCAACTTCTGACTAGTCATGAAGTCTCCTCCATGGAAACATTGATCACTCACCTTTCACGTGTCCCAATACCTCAAACTCAGAAAACGCATGAATTAGTGCAATCATTTGTCATGGTTGTCATGAAAGAAAGAGAAGAACGTGGCACTAGAAGAGAGGACGAAGAGGTCAAAGACATCTTCAATGCACATACTATAAAAAGATAAGTCACACTCAAGAGAATTGTTACTCTTTACATGATTTTCCTTCCAAAACCGCCAATATTTCAAAAACTCAAACTTCTACTTCAAAAGATGAAACTTCCAATTCTAAACTAATCCAAGATGATAAATATTAAGAATATCTAAAATTAAAGTCTAACAGTTTGACACAGCCATCACAACCATCTCAATAAACTTACTAAATCGATTAAGTCTTAAATATGTAAGTATTACTGATTTGATTTCTACAATAAAATGAAATAAATTATTGACTATTGAGATTTTATACTTTGAAGTAAGTTTTAGAAAATGTAATTAGAAATTTAGCGGGTGAACAAGAAATTCCTTGAATAGGAGGTTAGAAAATTTGAGTAGTACAACAATTAAAGCGGAGTAAAATTATAAGATATTAATCGTCTCCCCAAGCCTCGTCTCTCAATTTTTGCCTGGTTACTATACGTTCCCTCCTATCATTTTCTTGCTTTCTATATTCTCGGGACCCTACGCTTGTGGATGACAATTTTAAGCCCATACCATGAGCAATAAGCCTCTGGGCTGCTTGGGCTGAAGTTTTCGGCCGTTGTCGTAGTGGTTCCAGGTCTGAATGAACAATAAACACAGCTAACACATGTAAGGAAAAATACATAATTCTCACATTAATTGATAGAAAGTGCAATAAACACGTAATTTGCTTTTCATTCATCCAAAATTTAAAGATTTAATATCTAGCTTTTTTTTATAGGTATTATCACTTTATAAATCTCATTAGTTTCTTTATCCAAAATACGATAAAAAAGAAGTTATATAATAAACAAGTTTAAATTAATACACTTGAAATCACTAAATCAATCCTTAGATCAATTCAATGAAATACTACCATACAGAAGAAATCACACAATATAGGCAAAACACACTAATATTATGAATTCATAAAAGCTTCATAGCCTTTTAACATGACTATTCTCAGGTTCCCAGCATTTCAATTTTAAAAGTAAATCCATAACAGAATTTTAATGTAAACTTGCAGAAACACAATTTTAGCGCGCCTATCTGTTCACATTTTTATTTTATTATTTTTCTTTCGTTCTGCAATTTACTTGAGAGAGCACAGTGGGCACAATCAATTGTAACAGTTCGTAAGTTTTTTGGTAAAAATAGCACATAATCATTTCTAAGAGAGTTACTTTGTACTCATTTATATTTTGTGTTCACATTATTTCCTATTTTATCCTTTAAATAGTATAAATAATGTTGTACAGAAAAATTTAGGAACAAAGACGTCAAAGAAAATGTGTACATGAAACATGGATATATCGCCTTTATATATCGGTAAACCACCCTGAAAGGAAAACAGTTAAGTAAGGTACCTCTTGCTTTAATTGAAGTAAGGAGAGTATCATCTTCATCAAGTATCCTCGTGGTGAATGAACAACGAACACTGTTTAGAGCCTCAAGTGCTGCATTGTATATTAAGGGTATTGAATGGCCAACTGATCAAATTAAAGAGTATAGAGACCGAAAACAATCTACCAAAACTGATGCACTATTAACAGTAAATCACAGGAACTCATTTCTTTTAGAAAAAATAATGTAGAAATCATTAGCTTAAAGAAAATTCAACCATTCATCCGAAGAAGAAAAGGAACAGGTCATAACAATATGTCATGCCTAGCTTCTATTTGTTGGTGATCAGCGATGACAAAGATGTCGTTCAAGGGAGAATCCTTTTAATTAATAACAATCTTCTTAATACACAGTGCTTATATCATCTCATATTTTTACAGAAGTGACTAGCATGATAGCTATCTTGAAGAACTGTTACATGATCCCACAACCACTCTGTTTTTCAATATGAAAAGTCAATGAGAAAGTTCAAAACGTCTTTCTTTTGAATGATGGTGGCATCATTTAAATAATGTGAATCTTCAACTCCCATGCTCATCAGATCAATGCAAATTTCAGATTTCACCATTTACAAAGTTATTTACACAAAGAACCAAATATTAATGTTCATTTTCATAAAGATACATGTATCATCAGTTCCCCAATTTCAATGTTATTGTATCTAAAACCCAACTATAGCCACATGCAACCTAGTTCACCATCATAATGCATACAGAAAAACACCCATATTTTTGTAAATATCATGATAAGTATTGCATAAGAAAAACAAATTATAAATCAGGTAACTTTGCAATTACCAACTGAGGGTGTTCGAAATACTGCAAGTGCAACCGTATCATTAACCCAACGAATCACAAATCCACGGTCTTTGAAGTCCTCAAAAAGCTTCTCCAGCTCTGTTGTCCTAGTACTTGGTGAAAAATCAGCCAGAACAATAACATGGCTTGTACCATATTTTGCTGAAATGACCAACCAATAATCATAACCCAAGAATTTTATACAATATCTTGTAAAGCCTAAAGCTAGCAGAAGGGTAGATTACATCTTAAAAGAGCACGGAAACTCTGGAAAAATGAAAATTATGATCTGGTGTAGTAGAAGGAAATAGCAATCAAATCAACAAGCACGCTACACACCATTACATATGCAAAATAGTTGCTGTGGCACAAAATACGCATATAACTGGTTTTTTCCTTATAGATTGAAAATCCATGACGTATTACTTACTGCTTTGTACATCTCTATTATCTTCTGAATTACAGGGTGTCTCGTCCTGCTCAACATCAACGACCGATCTATCAAGTAACTGATCACTATAAAGCTCTTGTTTCTCATAAGAGAATGTCCCTCTTCCACGCCTTTTTGGGGTTCCACTTTTGGCATTCTCCAATTTAAGATTTGATTTTCCAGATACACTATCTGAGGATACCGTGGGAAGTAACTCATCAGGTTCAAGATCAGCTATTGCTTCCCAATCTGTAAAAACAGTTCTCAATACCATTTACATTGCACAATTGCAATAACACATGATTGTAATAATAAATACAATTATTCAGATGACGACTTTCAATCATTACTAATAATTATTCAGACTCTCGCACAACTTGCTATCATTAACTTTCCTTTCTTTATTTCACACTGAAGGCACAAAAACATTCGAAATACACACGATAAAATGAAGATTACTTTGAGAATTGTTTCATTAATTAGTTACGGTTTGCTTATATTTTGTTCTAACAATCCCGTAAAATTTTTTCCCACTTTTGAGATAATTATGAGAATTTGGATTTGAACCTAATTTAATTTCAAAAGTAATCTCACGAAACAAGAGTTATCTCCCAATTATATACATTGTTTTAGCCATATTACTAGTTAATATGAAATCTTCAGCTCACTCCATTTTGACGATGTAAATTTTGTGATAGGGTACGTCCATCAGTAATAGAAAGATAATTGCATACCGTAGAATTTGAGTTTTACCTAATTTAACTCCAAAAGCTAACTCCAAGTAATGTCTCTACTTATATAAACTATGCAGCCAAGTCCATGTGTAATCTGAGACAGCAACAAAAACATCTCGTACCTTCATCGGAAGAACCGCCGGCGGCGGAGGTTTGAGCAGTCAACTCCGCATGGTTTTCTACGTTTCCATCAGAACGACGCGAAGAAAACGTGGTCGGTTTAACGACTCCATCCTCGTTGGAATCTTTCGGAACTTGGTCGCCGCTAAAGGAATTGAAAATCAACAAATTCGTGAGTCGAAGAAATGGAAATTATGAAACAATTGTAATACATAGAAGATATAGAGAGAGGTACGAAGAATTGGAACTGTGAAGTTGTTTGAGGACAGAAGCGCGAGATTGAAGGTGATCGGCTTTGAGAGAGAAGCCTTTGGAAGAGTAAAGGTCGGCCAAGTCGGAGAGAGCAGAAGCCAAGGGAAGTTGCGAAGCAGAATCGGAAGGGTTTAGGGTTTGGACCACTGATTCGAGGAGTGAGATTGCGGATTCCACGTCGCCGGCGTCTACTAGGTCTTCAACCTTTTCGCTCCAGTTTTCATTTCCTTTCTCTTTCTCCATTGCGATTCCGATTTCCAAACTCTCAGCAACCAGTAAAATCAACACGACTTGTGATGCAACTGTGGACGAATGAAAAAACACAAACAAATATTTTATTGTTTGAAATTTTGAAAGTTTAAAATGAGTGAAATATTTTCATTTTTTTTTAATTTTTACGGTGATAAATTAAAAAGGATTAAAAAGTGTCACGATATTTTGATTAAGGAAATATGATCGTTAATATGTAATTAATTTTACAAAAATAATAAAAATTTTAACAAAACAAATAACAAAAATAATTACTTTTAATATTGATCATATATTAATGTTCATTATTTTATTTAATAAACATGTAATATTATTAAAGACTAAATATTTATTTAATTATATTAATTATTAATGAAATTAGTTTTTACACCATAATTATATTTTTTGTAATTGTATGAAAAATAAAATATAATAATGATTATATTAAATTGATTATTTATTTAAGTAAAAAATTAACTATGATAAATTTATTCTGTAAATGGATAGGTAACTTTTTTAATGTATAACTCTATATTTTAATAAATAAAAAATATTTATTTAATAAAATAAGCAATTAAATAATTTTTTGGTCATATTTTGTGGGTTTTCTTAGACGCACTCCACTACTATATTGGGTCTCATTATGTGGCTATATTAAAAAAATTTGTAGATTCAAAATATAGGCTATTTCTCTCTGCACCCCATAATTGTTTCCTACATCTCATGCTTTCTAAAATTGGTATCCGCTGTGTTTCAACTTAAAAAAATATCTTAATTAGTTTTTTTTTTAAGAAATTACTAATGGTATTGATGAGACACCCCCTGTTCATGTATTTGTGTGACACTATCCGTGCCAAATGGCATGATAATGTCATGTCATAACGTTGGGTCTTCTTGTTTTGATTTTAATTTAACTTTTATATATGTCTTTTTAATTTAATTTAGTTTCAATTACTTTTTAAAATAGAGTAATATTGTTTCTCTCTTAATTCAAAATAAATTTATTATTTTCATGAATGTTATACTAATCATTTTTATTAAAATTCACTTTTTAACATATTACACTATTATATATTATTAAGTCATGTTTTTTAATAATTTTTAATATAAATGTTATTAATTAATTTATTTGTATTAGGTCATGTATTTTTAATTTTTTTTAATAATATATTAGTTTTAAATACTTACTTTTTTTTCGTAAAAAACTTATACTTATTAATTTTAATCTTATAAAAAAACATGTACAAAATATAGATTAATAATATACAATAATATAATATGTTAAAAAAATATTTTGAGTAAAAATATTATTATAATATTTATATAAATAATAAATTTGGTTTTAATTTGGAGAGATATTATTTCATTTTGAAAATAATTGGGATTAAATTGAATAAGAAAGACACAGAGATATTGACTAAATGAAAATCAAAATGTTAACATTTGATACTAATAATGAAGCATACCATTTCGAGTTAGTTCTTAACCAAACTAAAGGAAAAATTCAAATGGAAAACAAATTATATGTAGTTAATCGTCCTCCATTGTTAGAGGGAAAAACCTTGATTATTGGAAACAACGCATGATTACATTTTTTGAATCATGTTAGAGATATGTGGAACATGGTGGAAAACAAAAATTACATTCCTCTTATGAGAAGGGTCTTATGAGAAGGGTAAGGAACTGTCAAAAAGCAAGTTGACCGACAAGCAAAAACAAAGGTTGGGGTACCCAGCATAAGACCTTTGTCATCCTTTTCTTGTTGAAGAGTATCGTTCTCGGCTGTCAACGTCCTTATTTCCTCCTCATATTTACTTTGCATTTCATCCATTTGTTGATGCCTTCTTCTCATCATCTCCATCGGATCCATTTGATTATTCACGGTCTCCTGTTGTGCTTAATTGCTCCTCATATTCTTTATGATCATCATGTAGGCTTAAAAGGTTTCGCTCGGTCACATGGTGAGTGTCAAAATGTTTCAAGTGTATGGGATGACATGTTCATTTCAAGTGGTTTTCTTGATTCCTAAATTCTTTTCTTTGTTAATGTTCTCTCATCGATCGGGTGTATTTGCTAAAGATATTTTGATACTTAAGTCAATTCAATATTCAATCGGTTTAGCAATTAATGTTGTAATAAATGCATCGCAAAAGTCCTAATAATCATACATTTTACTTATATTTATAGATTTCTCTATGAACTTCTGATTAGGATCAATCTAATCACGACCAAATTTTGTTAAACCTGATTACTAATCGATTTACTTAATCAGATAATTAACTGAATTTGATTGATACCAATAAGTTTCATATTGTTGAACATAGTAAAAAACTATACATGAATTAATATCCCTTGTGTTACACATATGGTCCTCTATTTATAATAAAAAATATATAGACTAGTCCAAAATACAAATAAAAAATAATTACAAATTAACTAAAGATAAAATATAAATATAAAATAAAGATAATATATCTAACTCATTTTCTTAAACTATCCGTTTGGAGTAATTAAGCCAATACATACCAATTAATACACATCTTAGTGAAATATCTAGAAATTAGAAGGTGAGATCAATTGATCCAAAATTATTAGTTGTAATAATCTTTCTTTAAACAACACTTTTGTATAATGTGAAATATTTAAAGAATTTCCTTATTTATATGTTCTTTTTATAGATAAAAAAATTTAGTGCAAACAAAAATTTATTAATATTTATTTATTTCATTTATCAGACATAAAATTATTTTATTTTATAACAATGTTTTTTAATAAAATAAAAAAGTAAATAACACAATGAAATTTATATAATTGAATAGTTTAAATACCATTTTCTTTAATTTAAACTTATCCCAATTATTTAGGTTATTTTATGTATGTACTTGCTTACTGTCATGTGTAATATTTTTCAGTGTTCATATGTAAGAAAAGCCATGGTTTTATGAGTGGTGTTATCCTATTCTTAAATGAATAATATATTGAATTTAAAATTAAATAATTTACTTTTATTTTTTATGTAATTTTTATTTTTATTTCTTATTAATGCATGGTAAAACTCTTTCGGAAATTGCATGGACAACAAATTTTGAATACACAAATTCACGTTTTCTTGTTATTTTTAAGAGAGTCCTACTTTACATGTATGAATTCCATTTTATTATTATTATTATTTTTAAATGTATACTTTTCGGGTAAACATTTTTCATAATTTCATTAATTAATTGAATTTTAAATATTAAAATATTGTTATATTTTCACATATATATTTTTAATGAATAAAATTTACATACATAATTTTAATAATTAAATTATTCAAAAAATAAAAAACAAAAAATATAGTCATATAAAATTAAGAAAATAATAATAATTCACTAATGAAATTATTACAAAAATATCTCAAAATAAAATAAAACATGATTATATATAAAAAATAAAAAAACATAAGAATTTAAAAGGTTCTATAATCAAATTTTTGAAAAACAATCTGATATAAAAAAAATTGAAACAAGAACGACGTGGTTTGTATGAAATATGTATAAAAAAAGTAGAAGATAACTTGTGCAATGAGAACATGTCTTCTTCACCTTCATTTGTTAGTATAAAGTTGTGTTTCTTCATTTTTGAAATCTTGATTTCACATTTTTTTTTCCATTTATATATATATATATATATATATATATCACCAGTTCGATGAATAATAAAAAATCCCATCTAAACATTTACTTCTGCTATGTACACTATAGCATGTTATCGAAAGTAAGCACCAAATGATTAATCCTAATCTAATGCATACATCCACAAAATTTATGTAATGCATGGTACCTACTTATCACGTAATAACCACAAATGCAGATAAATTTACGCATGAAACAGAAACCTCATGCAGAAATAATTCATATCCAAAAAACATACACAAAATCCAATATATATATTTATATAAACTATCCAAATAAATCATCAAATTCCTTGTATGAACCTAGCTACTTTCCAATACCATATACAACAATATACCTTCCCCAACTCAAGTTGAATAATTCAATTATAAACTATTTCATATCAGACCATGCATGTAAAGCTGAATCCCTGCAAGTTCATATACATATATAATCTTAGAGCAGTTTCCACTTTTATACATTGGAGCAATTTATTTCCCTCCCATGCTAGGACATGCACGTGACTTAATTAAGCAGTGCTCGGGTTTGAACAGACATTCATATATGCTTCTCCATTTCTTTTGTTCTTTCTTTTTCCTTGCTAACTTTCTTCTGCTAAGTTAGTGTGTCGTGAGAAAACACCCTGAACTGCATTGTGTTGTGTGGATTGCAACATCAGAAAAAGAAAATTCTTCATATCCTTTGTGGGGTATCTCATTACCCTAGCTAGCGAGTTAATGATCAATTCTCAGGCCACGAAATCCCGCAACAACTGCGCAGCGAACCTCTTTCTGTTTTGGATGTCGATGTTATCATAACTGGTGCCTGAATGAGAAGAAGGTGGCGTGTTGATGGCACCACAGAACTCATTTTCATTGGTCGTTCTCATTCCCAGGTGCATATTCGGAGAGAGGAATCCATGCTGAGTTCCCGAGAGGGTAAGATTCTCACTGTGTGGAAGTCCAAGAGTGAGAGAAACTCCGTTTCCATGAAACCTTGGAGCCAGCTGTTCAGTGACATGATGGAACCTTCCAATATCTTCCATGGGAAATGCTCCAAAACCCCCTCCATGGTTTTCAATGCCAAACTTTGTGTTGGTTCCTTCTCTGGTGTTTGTCTCTCCATGATGAGGCTTCATTTCCATGTCCACTGAAAGGATACTACCAGGAGAGTTTTGCATTTCAGAAGTGCTTCTTGGTTTGTTTGGACTTTGCATGTCCCCAAGATGGAAACCAGATTGGAGAGACCCTCTTCCTCCTCCTCCTTCTCCTCCTCCACCTCCCATTGGAGATGTTGAGAGTGAATTAGAATTGGAGATCTCTGTTGGGGAAGTGGTCTGGTTATTGTTGAAACTTTCTGCCTTTGATCGGAGAACATTGATTGGATTAAGTCTCATGCCACCAGA